TATGTTGACATCTGATGAAGTCCCATTCCAACTTCAGAGAGTGGCGCTTCAGGAACCTCTGGATCTTGGTCACATGGTGATCACGGTACGATTTCAAAGTAGTGCAATATGGCCATGATGTGCTGCGGCATAAAGACGTAGCCTGTATACAGCGCCATCCCCACTACAGAAACCAGCATCGAATCTGAGGTGTAGTTAAGGAAAACACGTTCTTTTTCTTCATCTATTCAAAACGAAATCCCTTTTTTTCAAAAACTGCTTTATGTTGAAGTACTCATTCACTTATTGCTTTTTCACATCTGTCAAGTATTAATACAAAACTAATATAACAATAATGATAAGGAAAACTGCTAACACTAACTGCACTTGGCACCTTTCTAAGTTCTTTTACCCTCATTTAAAAATGTTGCTCTTATTATTACACAGTTCGACACATCAGACTGTTTCAAATTTCAGCCTAGAAAGTGGTGCTGTTCAACCTTAGAAAATAAATACATAGGAATAAAATTGAATTTAACAATTGTAAAAGGCTAATAACCAACGTGATTAATAATAATCCAAGAACTTTAGACTTAAATTAGTATGTGGCTAACAGTGTTGGCTTTGGAGTCAGACAAAGCTAAGATCAATCTTATACAAGGAAGTTTCACAAAGTTCATGGAAAAATTTCTTTTTCTTTTTTGCAGTTTTAATAAAAACTTTATTATACCACCATAATGTAATCAACATGTCTCCAAATCCAAATGACACTAAATAGAGATCTCCATGGTGTATCAGAATGACCCCAGAAAATTACATGGATTCCATCATCTTACATCTTTAAAGCCAGAAAGAATACACAGTTTAACAATAACTCACAGCTCCATTATCTTTTAATTCCATTTTTCCATGAACTTTGTGAAGCCCCCTCATACTAACTAGGTGACATATAAAATGGTCTCCATCATACTTGCTACTATTAAACATTTTTACTATCATCCCTAAGCTTAGCAACAACCCCAAAAGTCACCTTCATAACCCAAACAAGAAACATTCTTTAAAGTGTTCCTTTCTTCCCAGGCCAAAAAGAACTGAATTGCTATGTATGCAAGTCAACAAGAGACCCACATATTAGCCCAAATTAGGTAAATTCTAAGGACTTTTGGCTTTGCAGTCCTGTAGCCATACATAGAGGAATAACTGATTCTGAACTGGAACTACCTTTTATGAGCTCATTCATCCACTCATATTCTCTCCTCTCTCTCACCTTTTAGTTCTACTTACTAGTATTTATAATACTGTACATTCTTTTTGACAGGATAGGGTTTTAAAAACTATGTCCTTACTGCCTACTAATATTTGTGTAACAGTTAAAGTTTGTAAATCTTCCACATGACGTTATTTTGCTTAACCTTCTAGTGTCCTTGTGAAATGTTGATTAAAGCTATTACTCATTGTTGTTGCTAAGTGCCCTCCAGTCACTTCCAAGGAGTTCTGGTGTGGCACTGTGGGTTAATGCTCTGGATTGCAAAGTAGGTTTGAACCACAAGGTCAGCGATGCAAGCTCACCAGTCGCTCCTCAGAAACCCTACACAGAGTCACTGAGTCAGAACCCACTCGACAGTGTAACAAGTCAGTTCCGACTCATAGCAACCCTGTATAGAGTTTCCAAGGAAAGGTTGGTGGGTTTCAACTGCCAACCTTGCTGATAGCAATCCAGTGCTTATCCACAGCGCCATTCTTTAGAGGCTGGAAAAAGGCTGAAAGACTTGTCATGGGCCACTCAAGAAACTGTCTTTAGAGCCAGAGTTCAAACCAAGGCTGCCTAATTCAAATTCTAAACTCATTCCCCTCATCCCAAAATCACCCATCATCAATTTTTTTCCATTTATTTTTTAACCTTCTTTAATACAGTTCTTCCTTAAACTACCTGATTTCTTTAAAAGACAGCTCCTTGTAGCTTCCATACCACTGCCATATTTTTGCTTATATTGTCCCCGATGTAACCATCTGACTTTAATCCCTACAGTTTATAAACAATCTCTTAAGGTCACTAATGACCATTTATCTAATCCAAAGAACCTTGTTTGCTGAAAGCAAAATAGTCTTAAGATAGTTATTGATGAAGATCAAAGACCACAGTCATCAATATGGGTTGCATCTCAAAGTCAAGAAAACAAAATTCCTCACCACTGG